GTTACGCTGCACAGCTGTGGTTTAAAGCTTCTCTTTGCACACAAACACTGGCAGCAAAGCAAAAACTATTTTTATGTTTTTAACACACAGACCCATTAGAAGAACAAAAGCCACCATGTTCTGAGTTAAATATATAGCTTCCATTAACTTGACCCAAATTCTTACAAAATATAAATTCTGATTCATCTTTAAGTAGAGATATTAAAATTACAATGGCTTTGTTTATCAATTCATTTGTCTTAGAGTGCCTTATCTCTTCTCTTAGAGGTAAAAACACTAACACAAAAGTACCATTATAAAAAGATTTTATTGTAGGATAACTTAGTAAAATTGAGATGTATTTGAGTCTTTTGCTCTATTGTGATGTGTGGAATTAAGAGAAAAAAAATCTACTAAGCCCAATGGAAAAATGATTTATCTCAGTGCATAAGAATGACACACACCAAACTAAGAGATCTGCCACTTACTGCTAGAGGAAGGACATATGCTCAAAAGGAATGCACAGTGACAAAACAGGACTGCTCAAATCATGTTTCCACTAAAAACAGTGGCAAAGCACCTATGATTTTGACTGGCCAAGATTTCACTCTATGCCCAGTAGTATTTGTTCATGGGACTGAACTGCAAGAGAATTAATTTCCTCTGGTTTCTGACTCCTCATGAGGAATAACTCGCTGTCACAGTTACAGACAAGTTAATACTGAGATAGTACTCTTGTCACCAAGAAATGGTGAAAAACGGTTCTTTAAAGTGATTTTGCAAAAGGCTCAAGTTCTTGTGTTCTTTAGTGTGCACACAGCAAGCATGAAACATTTTTTTCACATTCTCTCTCAGCACATGGTCTGTTAATTGTTTTGGTTTGGTTTTTATATGAGACGTACACTGTTTATAATTACTTTTCATCTGAGGGCTGTAAGCAGGGCTGGAGACTCAAAGGCACAAAGAACACAGATTAAAAATCAATACTGAGGAGGGGAAATGACCTTTAGACAGGCTATTTATAATTAACTTGTTTCTGCGGAAAAAAATGTATTTTGGACAAAAATATTACCTTGTTAAAACATCACTAACCTAATCCTACAGTGATGGTTGTGAAAACTTTCTCTTTGACAGGATATGCTTGAATATCTAGGCACCAGAAACAATGAGTGTTCATTAGCCATGATATATTGATACTCTATTACTCTCAATGTGTGAGCAATGCCCAATGCTACCAAAATTATTAGACGCTATGTTGCTACAGTGGTAGTGGTACTCAGCTCTGTATTTCTTCTATGCAACCAAACCCAGCCCCTACTGATCCTCAGAGCAAGGACAGGGATTTTTTTCCAGTATCTCTACTCTTTTGGCAAGAAAGCTGGAGGATTTCCCCTCCCCTCCCTGCAGAACGCAATTCTCTCTGTTCTCTCCAGCAAGGATCTAAGGCAGAGCAGAGCAACCCTGACAGTATTTCTAAAGGTCTGTGAGTCATAGGAAGGGCAAAAGTCTGCAGAGATTGTGTTTCAAGAGCAGAGAATCTTGTGCTGCAGTTTTCTGAGAAGATGAAGCCCCTGAAGTCTCAAAACACCCCAGAGGTGCTTTGCCCAAGTAGTCCTAAAGTACCATCCCTTACAGGTGATGCTGCAAAAATCCTTGAATATCAGGACAGTGAGTCAAGTGCTGCGACTCCTCACTGATATCACTGAATGTACCAAGACTGTACTTAATTTTTTCAATTAAAGTTCTCTTCTCTTACAAGGGGACTCTATTTTCTAGATCATGTGATTCCTTTTCTCTGTGATGCTTTAGCAGCAATAAACCAAACCCAGAAACAATTGGGAATGCATTCTATCTGAGTGGGAATATGCATATTCAACTAGAGTAGTGGCAGTACAAGAAGCTGTGTCTGTAAAAAAAACCTGACAGACATGGAAGCAATTGGGAGAACTGCTAGGTTAAATCAGAATACGTTCATTCAGTTTTGAGGTTAAAGGTCCCTAGAATGTGCAGATTTCAAAACACGCCAAACGTGACTAAGTTTTCACTGAAAGATGACAAAAAAAGCTGTACAGACTACAGAATTAGTGCCATAATGTTCAAGTTCCAGTGTCTCATCAGTAATTGCATACTCTCTTAACAATAAATTATTATTACAAATGTATACTTAATGTCCTGCTGTTAATGTCTGGCCCTTTAAACTGCACAGTCTGCTACTGTGAAATGGAAACTTTTGTTAAGAGGGGATAAGTATATTTGATAAATTACAGGGATTAACACGATCCTAAATTAGTAGAAGAATTTAGCTTTTTTAATATTTATTTTCTTGATGCTGCTCAGTTTTTGACAGTAGAAGACATGATAGTTATATAAATATACTTCAAACAGAGGATCATCTCAGGGTAGGAAAGGCATCTTTTTGTTCTTTTTGGTATTTAAGTACTACATTTTCAGACATTGTCAGCCCAACGTCACTAGCTTCACGTTCCCTCTCGCTTCTGGGATACCACCACCTAGTGGCTGCCGGATGTATCGGAGATCGCTGCTCGGCAAAACCCACCTACGCTGCACATTCCAGAGATAGTTGCAAGCAGATGTGAGAATGTGCTGTCACTCACCTTCAAACAAAACACCAGAAATACTGGCAGAACGCCCATTTCAAGTGAGGGTTACCTGGAAAGACGCAATATGGCTTCCATGTAAATTATTAACTTTTGCATCAGTCAGTAATTGACAAAAAGCTGGAGAAAATTGTACCAAGATTATGAATCTCAATCTGCATTTTATCTAGTTCGCTTTAGGAGTGAAGCCCATGTTGAGTGCAGGAAAGAGGGCTAAGAGACAAGGATAGAGTACGATGGGACATATACACAGTCACTATTCTTTTGTTTACAAAAGCCTCTTTGTGAAAAGTTAAGAGAATAGCATTATCTTTCTTTCCTGAGCAGAGATGAAGCAGCACTGCCAGCAATACCTTCTGTTCTCAGCCAAACCTTTCATTTATCTTGCAAGCTGCCAAAACTAAACCTGGCAACAATCTGATTTTAGAACACACAGGCCCCAACACAGGATATGAGTGCCAATTATATCAGACAGCTGGAAAAAAAGAGCAAAATTACAAAGGCTTTTAAAAAATAAAATGACTTAAGGGCTTTAAGCTATTCTTATAACACCATGCACAGGAGCATATGCACGATAATTTTGTTAATGGGATGTCCTGTACCAACTTGACAAATGCAGACAACACTCAACTTGCTGAGTGCTCTTCACAGAAAAGTAAATGGTCTATAACAGGAGAGAGCAAGCACGCAATTCATGCAAATAGGACACAAGGAAGGAATGTAAGAGACCTAAAACCGTAGTGGAAATACACCAACATCATAACAACACACTACTGCAATAAAAGGTATCTTCTTACTGAACCTTTTACGCATCTTGGGCAAAATACTCAAGTTGAATGCTACTGCTACTGAAAATACTTGTAAAAGGCCAGAGGAAGATGAGTTTGCATGAAGACACCAATGTTCTGATTTAAAAATAGCAATAAAATAAAAGTATAATAATTACAATAATTGAGACTGATAGCTGGGACAAAGGACCTAATCTGTTCTGTTTTGACAATAGCTCCAAGGTCTAAAATGGCTAGTAAAGAGGGGTGTGGAGGCACATTTGACCAGATGTGAGCTTTCTTTCTAGCTTTGCTGATCAGAATCTCTTTTATCAGTTTAACACAGATTCAAACATCTGAAGTAGACACAAAGATTCTTTGTTCCCCACTTAGGCACAAACCAATTCTTCTCCATCTTAAACTATATCCCCCTCCATCTAAACTTGTCATAGATGAAAGGAAAAGCAGATTTCTCATTGGATCCTCACCTCTCAGGGACCTCTAAAAGTGTAATTTGAAGGGGGGTAGTCCACAGCCTTCCAATTACAGGAAAAGAACGGAGACACTGTAACAGGAATCTATCCTCTCTGGTATATAAACACATATTTTGCTATAAATTTTACATATGCAAAGAAAGTTCCAACATAAATTTTTCTCCAGATGTTCTTTTTCTACATAGAAATCTCAAGAGGTTAAATGCATCACCAAAGTTCACAACTTGGCTACAAACAGTTCAGAAATCCAAGACAGAGAGCTGCTGCACAGGCACAGAAATGCATCTACAGGCCACTTACAATAAGCCTACACAGTACTATCTAACGCATGTACCATGAACTTCTATCTAGAAATACAACCTTATTTGTACAGATCAGATTACAATAGTTTTGCAGTCTAATACAATCCACTGTATTTAGATTATTCCTTAGTATTACATCTTTTTCTTACCGTTATGAAAAAGATACTTAAAGAGCATAGAAATTATTGAGAGAAGTGTTCATATGTTGGCTTGTTTGTATTGATACTGCAGAATTATCATTTGTATATGTTACTGTCATTCTGTCATCTATCTATGGAGTAACCAAACTTCATCTTCCTGTTTTATTCAGCTATAGATCTGGGACTTTCATGTAAGTCAAAGTCAACAAGCTTTAAATCAACAGAATTAATTCTAGCATATTAGTATGTGGTTTTTATAATTTGTAAGAAACTATGTATTGCATCAATGCTTCTAAACAGATTGATATTACCTCCAAAACACCTTGATCTACATCACATGATTTATGAACTGTAAGACACAGTACACAAGAATCTATCAACTGAGTACTGATCTTAGTAAAGGACTAAGAACCAGACTCCTGTATTTTCATCCTGCTCTGAGAATGAGCTCTTGCCCTACATGTCAGATAATCTCTCCTTCTCCAGAGTCAGGGAAGAATCTTGCTGCATGGATGTTTTAGAAAAATTCATGTCACATATTAAAAAACCCCATATATCATCATGTTTTAGATATCTATGTGACTTTAGGAGCAGAGCTGAAAAAGAGTAATTTTAAAAAACTGTCCAGCAACAATTAAGAGTTTTAGAGTAGCAGGTAGCTGAAGAGGTTACCATGTTAGCAAAGCTGTGCAGAAAATACCTGTCTTTGTTAATGGGCTAGAGAACAGCTGCTGAAGAAGTTTGTTCTCTGAAGTTCGCAACACCACCACTATGTCGGCAGGAAGAGTGTCTCTGTTCTTCTCAAGGAATGCACTGGCATCATATAATACCTAGCGTGGGAAACAGAATCAGAAGATTTGCCAAAAAGGGTTACTCAAAAACTACTATGTTCCTTAAAATGTGAATAATCAGGATGACCAAATAGACTAGTTATCTTGTATCCAACAGGCCAATGAATTACCTATGAAGGACTTAAATGTGTACTACAGCAGCGTCTTCAGAACATAAACCGGCTGTATACAGTACCTATATTCATAGCATGTCACATTCAACATTGCACATTCAACTGGATTAAATGGCTTAAATCCTGCTGTACTATGCTTTGTCAGGACAAACTATTTTATGCACATTGCAATATAACAGAGATACTTAAGTTGATCATTTATATGTGAGGTAAGAAATGGTTCTCAGGTGGTTATTATCTATTTGTTGTCTGCAACAAATCTGTAATCTCTAAGTAGACCTGCTGGAGGAACAGGAGTAAGTTGGACATCTTGGTACATTAAAACAGGCTTCTTGCTGCAATGAAAATCATATTAGGAAAACAAAACATTACTCTATTTCAATTATTTTAACTGTTTTGTTTAGAAATTAATGCCTAGCTATTTGTATTCATATAATCAATATGAATACATATATAATATATATAATAGAATCAATAGAATCAGTTAATTTTGCCCTTTTTTTTTTTAATTGCAATAGTTTCTTAGACCTGTTTTATTATCCCTAGCAATATTCCTCTCTAGCCCAATTCCCCTGGAGTCCACCAGTTTACACAGAAACTGAATGTTCTCCTTGCAATAGAGAACTTACCAGTAGTGTTTTTATTACTTGGCCATTTGGGTACAAAGAACTAACTAAACCTGTGTGAATTTTGACAGTTACTCTTACCAAGACAGAAAGCTGGACAGAATTTACTAGGATATATCTTAAAATTCTGCAGTCTTATAATGAGCTAAAGATGAGATTTCATTGACTACTATGTAAAACATGGTCATTTCAATTTTGTTTATAAATAAATATTTGGGCCTGAAATCACAAGCAAAGCTCATGTTATGGTGAAAACTGGAACATTATCCCCCATATAAAATAACATGTGAATGTGAACAAAAGAAGTTAGGTGTTACAGATACAAGGAAACATCTGTACTAGCAAGTCCCAGTCTTTCCAATGCTTTTTATCGGATTTTAAGTTCTATTACAGATACTGGTTTACATTGCTTTTTATCTATATACTTAGATACACTCTCACACAGAACTACTGTGGCATTGACGGGATGTTAACAAGCACATAGCCTGTTCTGGCTCCAGAGAGTTGCTCCTTTGAAGTGACTGTAATAATGGTGTTTCTGGTGCCAGAGTTCTTGCAGAAAAAAGATGGTTACTGTCTACACAATTTGTGCAAGAGCCCTAAGGACAGGTTCTAAAATAGACCACTACACATGAAAATTTTATTATAGATTCTATGTTTGCATAAACTTTATCATATTTTGTATTAAAATGAGGAAAAAAACCACCATAAAGCAGAAACTCTGGATGAAAAGAAATAATGACCATACCACTGCTATTTGAACTAAATAAAAATCACATGACCTTACCTTTCCAGCATAGTGCTGAATACCAAATGACAGCTCTACTCCTTTTGGTCTCCAAAAGTATTTGCATCGTAAGTTATCTTCAAATTTATCTAGAGATTGAGAAGAGACATTGATTTAAGTGACAGAGTGATTAACTATAACCTTCATCCTAATTAGTTTGCTAAATTGCTTCTCAAGAAGTCAGAGCTGCTATAAACACATATATTATCAGATTGCTCAGAAATATTTGTGTGCCAGCTTCTCTACACTTTTGCTAAGCTGTCATTTCTGAATGGAACAGTTCATTCTAAACTAGCCCAGTAAAGCTGTCTTTCAAACACTGCTGTGGACGGTTTTGTGCATGGAAAACTATTAAATAAGAAGGGCTAATGAGAAGATGTGACAATTTCTCATATTTTGATATGAATTTGCTTATACATATACAGGGTTGGGGTATGTTTATTTTAATTATGTACATTCAAAACTGTGCATATATCACGCTTGCTTAAATGTATCTTCCCTATCTTTCCCTCTGCATTCAATTAGCTTTGTTCATCATGTTTTAAGGATATGTTAATGTCTTCAGTCTGGAACTGTGTCTCATTTACCTTTGGACTTCTACAGAAAAAGAGGAGGCTTCTATACAAAAGCTCTTCTAAAGAGACTTTCTGTTTCCTGTGCCTACCTCTAAAGAACTGACAGAAAAGGAAACTCCAACTTCTGAGAAAAATGTCTTTTATGCCCTGTGATATTTTGTATGCTCTTTAATATTTCGTAATGAAGTTAGTGTTGTCTGTCCAACACTGAAAGCCCAGGCAGCAACTTGTGTCAGGTTTTTCTTTCTATTAACACTCAATCAAGCTTGTATTTAAAGCAAAAATAACTAAGTTTGGAATTTCAGGGGGCTGGAACAGAGTAGTGGAATTAATGACTGTCTGGCACACCTGGAGAGGGCAAAATATCTCTCTCACTTTGCTGTCTCCTTGAGGGATCCTGCTGTTCTGTGTACAGATCAGCAGTAAAGCTGATCAGCACTGGACCAAGGAAGGTTCCTCTAACAGTAGAAGTTCAGTATTCAGTATTAACTGATTGATGTGACCCACAAGGAAGCAGACTACTTTAGTATACAAAGGAGGAGTGGAATGAAACCATAGTACTTGTTCAATCTGTGACTTGAATTCCGGTAAACTCAGCCTAGCAGAAGTAAAAAATCTACTATATGTACTGTGCAATTTAATAGGCAGCTGTTATTTTCCTCTGACTAACATCTTGAGCCTCTGCTGCACATTCCACTGAAGGAAATATCACAGGGAAAAGGTCAGCTCTAGCAAATAAAAGCAAGACAACAGTTTTAAACATGGCATGCACTGCATGTTTTAAGTTTGGCACCAAAATTTGTTAAAATGTATGTAAGATATGCATGAAGGCAGGGAAATATTCAGCCAGATGGCACACCACAAATAACACACACTTCCTATTTATGATGAGATAATCTGGAATGAAGCAGTATTTTCTAATTGGATAAACATGGGCCTAGGAGCCTGGGAGCTCTAAATTTTACTTTCAACACTAATGCTGCTCACAGGGTGGTCCCAGATACAAGATTCTACTCTGTCTCAGCCACCTCTTCCGTAAATGGGGATAAATACTGCTTGATACACCTCATGTACAAGGACAAGACACAGGTTATTTCCTTGTAACACTGGAAAGACAATAAGCTCTTGACACACAATATTTAGGATAACTTTTCCAATATGAAAAGGATAGAAAACAAGTAAGCAGAGAAAATTATGAAGCACAGTGAAAAATGAACTTTAGAATGTCAACTAAAATGGCACAGCCTCACCAGGACAACTAGGCTAGTAAAACTTGAACAACGATGACATTCTGCCTTCTTACAATACATTTGTCATTTCACAGAGTTTTTGTTTGTACATACCAACTAAAGTTAGGTCTGTTGCCTGAGGAAATCGACTTTCTTCATCTAGCAGAGACAGGAGACCCATGGGTTTCTGAAGGAACATATCTAGAAGAGGACGGTTGTCCTCATACTCCACTGTAGTTGCATCAATTCCCTCGCTCTGATACTCCATCTACAAAAGTCATCAGCACAGTTTTAATATTTAACACATTCGTGATGCATAGCAATATTCTATAAGCTTCAGCAACATTATTCACAAAACTTCAACTGAAAGATGTCATTATCTTCCATTTAAATCACATACCCATTTTATGGTTTATAAATAGTCTGAATACAGTCTATGGTTTAGGATGGCTGATTCAGCTAGAACTCATCAGAGCTGAATTTACCTGCTCAAGTGCAAAGATATGTTGATTGAAATAAAACTGGATCTGTTCATTAGCAATATTTATGCACAGCTGTTCAAAAGAATTTCTTGCGAAGTTCTCAAATCCAAATATGTCTAGTATCCCAACATTCATCCCACTTTCAGCATTGCTGCATGTGAAAATACAAACAGAATTCATCGTGGGCAACATCACGTTAAAATAAAAATAAACATGGTAACTAGGATTGCATAATTGATTTACTCTGCTGCAAAAATCATAGGAAAAGTGTGTCTGAGCCTAAGACAACTCGTGCATTTGTTCAGCATTGTTAAGACTTTTGTTTTTCACTTGCTTCTTGCAAATTTCCATGAAGGTGGCAGGAGAATCATAGGTACAAAGTAAGCCACATTTAGCAGCCATATTAAAACAAGTTGTTTCATAGGCAGACCTCAAATAAAATTTGTCTGCTCCTCCAGATAGTCAAAAGGTGTCAAGTTTTAATAGTATGTTTCTGCTATACTCATTCAGAAGGGTAATTACCAAGTCTGTTTCTGCTACAAGGTGGACTGTCAAGAGCCCACGTGTGAACTGAAGTATGACAGTCACCACCAAAACTGGATATGGATGAGAATGTGTCTATATGACACAGTGAAGTGCCAAGTAGAGATCTCAGATCAGAGGCATTTTCACATCACCTGAGGGGTTCTCTTGTTTCTAAAATCTCTACAGCTGCTCCAAAAGATCAAACCAGCCAGATTAGTACCTGACAATGAAATCATAAGGGTGCACAATGTAATGTTTCTGTAACTATGAAAAATAAAAAATCATCATTTACATCTCAAGTAGCAGCACAATAATAATCTGATATCTGTATTTATTACTAAAAAACCCAAGATCTGTAAGGACTGTGAATACATACTAAAGTTTTTCAGTGTACTTATCAGACTTCTGTATGATTTTCATGTTCAATATATAGGAAGCATCTTTTTAAAGAATTATACAGCACTTCAACAACTCAATTTCCATTGACTTCAGTAGCTAAATTCTACTTGGGTCTTTGAAAATGATGGGATTAATGTCCTGGAAACAAAATTCAGTATCACAGCATGAAAGCCATTTTGAAGCCTTAGTCAAAATAAACACAGCACCCTTTCTGCAAAATCAAAAATATACAAATGGATGAAGCCATCAGACATATGCACAGTAAGTACACATGATTCAGTGATGTGTAACTTGCCATATATTTTTATCTGGCTGAAGCAGTGTATTAATACGATTTACAATCCAGCTGAAGAGTCGGCCATAAAGTGCTTTAGACATGGCATCTCGCACGTCTGCTGCTTTGTCCACGGTGTTGGTCCGGATAATAGTCTCCCCCCGTGTTACAACACAGTGGGAGGTTAGGGCCTCTTGAAGTTCTTCTGACCCAATACTTAGCAGTGCAGCAGCTAAAAGACAGTGGAAAAAAGATACACAACTGTGATTATGCAGTGGAAATCACCAGCATTGACCAACTGTTACCATGAGTTACAGATTCTCATAAATACAGTTAAATTGCATTTACAGAACTGACCACATTAAAATGTATTTACCATTATCTAAGGCTTCTGGGTTGGGAACCTCACTTTTATCCGTTTGGTGTTGTGAAGAAATGGCAGCAAACTCAATATTTCCAGTATTTAAGATTCCAGTCAGAATTCTGTACACTGAGTACACTTCCTGTAAAAGATGACAAGATGCACTTTTAAGGAATCCAATTAGATATACAGATCATATGTAGGCTATGACAAAAAAATGTAGGCACTGGAATGGCTATTAAAGTTCATAGCTTTCTCTGAAACCAAATTCTACAAGTTCAAGTAAACTCTTATTTGCACAGAAAACAGTGCAATACAGAATTGCCTGAGTACCAACCGAGACCTCAGGCTGCTCTTGTCTTCTGAGTGTGTGGTTGTTCTTTCAGGGTTCACTTCTGTCATAAAAGAGATTCTGTGGTGCAGGTGTGCATCCACAAAACCAAAAGGTAGCACTGGAGGTAAGTTTTTATAAAGAAGGTCAATAATGGTTTAGCACCTGGATCTCTTACCTCGTCAGTAAATCCTATAATTCTAAAGCAATGCTGAATCGCTTCAAATTGTCTTCCATAAGAATCTTTAGTAACAATATCATGCATCACTCTTCCAGTTTCATTATCAATATATCTAAACAGAGTGGGAGAAAGAAAACATCACACTAACAGATAGGTCAGTATGACCTCCAGTGACTTCAATGCAAGTACCTCAGTAACTGGAAAGAACATTTATCTCAATATCTTCCAATTATATAGTTTGGTGCTAATTCATGTGAAGGTTTTGCTTCTGTTGCATTAACTTTTACTTATCCTTTGTTAATGTCTATTAGTGTTCCCAACATTTGACACATATGCCCTCACCCAATACAGATCAGAAGCATGCAGAGTACAAACACCAGTTAAAAAACACAACTTCAAAACATATTCTGGGTTATTGCTGAATGTGAAGCATTATGGTAAGAAATTCATAAGGTGGGCTGATCTCATTGAAAGTATGTCAGTATATCTACATAATAATGAGCTTGATTCTTCCTCCTCCTGTTTTAATAGTTCAACTTCTCAAACAAACACAAATAATGGAATGCCTCAGCGTCCATCCTCTTCTTTCCTTGGGAGGATTAAAAAAGGTCCTTAAGAGATGGAGAAGGATTAAGAGAGATTTTAAGGCATCATACTGAAAGCAAGTGCTGATCAACAGCTAATTACAATGAGCAGTTAAAACAAGTGAGCGATAGTTACCTAGGAGGCTTTTTATCAGGAAGTCTATATTCAGAAAGTTTCTTCTGATGATAAAGGCCAGCATAAATATAATAAAATATATGGAAATTTTTCTCTCCCCTGGAAAAAAAAAATCCTTTTAAAGCACCTGTGTTTATTCTTGTGGCATCTTGTACAGTGTAAAAGTAGTTCTTTTATAATGAGCTCACTGAAGCAGGTAGCAAATCTCCCACTTGTTTTAATGGTTTAGGATCAGCAACTGTGAAACACAGAAAACCCAGTCAACACAACATTTCTCCAAAGAATGGAGCGGCTCTGGCTTCCACACCAAAAGAACCTGACTACTCTTGTCATAGCACTGTACAAAGGATCACTGCTTCAGCAGAAGATCGGAAAGTATTTAAAATACAGAATTTTTGATAATTAAATCAATCCAAACATTATATATATATGTCAAAGGACAAACAATTAATATACCTACACAGCCTGTTTTATGACCCTTGATTTTTCAAGGAGATATTCAGAAATCTTTGCCCCCATTACAGCTCCTGTGGGTGTAAACATCATTTCCAGATATTTTCCAAAGCGACTTGAGTTGTCATTGATGGCAGTGCAGGCATTCCCAAATGCTTCAACCAGAGGATTCACCTGAAGAATTTTCTCACGCAAAGCACGGTTATTGGCCTTGACAGAACAGATACAGATCAGAATAATAACTAAAAGAATATAATGCTTACCCACAATCCAATTCTTGCTTCAGAAGCATAGAATCCTCTTCTCATGCTTGTATGGACTTAGGTACTGTGGCAGGAAGAATGTACCTCAAGGTACTGTGTTAACCTTCCTACTTACATAACAACAGGTCTAACAAATTGATGAGGAAGTCTCCCACAGGTAGGAATATGCAGATTCTGCTTTCTCTGCAATTGTTCTACCTCTGAGGTGTCATATAATTAGTTAAGAGTACCAAACCCATAAAAAAACTAAAGACATCTACTTAAGGTTAACCTTAACATGCTTGATTTTTCCATCATTTTGTGCTCATAGCATTTTTGTAACATTTAAATGTCTAAGAGCTTCTAAGATTAGAGCCATAGTAAGATCTGTCATTGTATAAATAAACAATAATATATGTGATAAACACTGTACATAACTACCAGTACTGAACACTCAGAATCCAGCACCTACTCTTTAAAAAAATATCGAGTGGCTTGGTGTGAGTCACATTCATATCTCAATTCAGTGCTCTCACACATGCATGATTATTACGCCCCTAACTCAAGTGGGACAATTTACGTAAACAGCTTTAAATATTAAAGATTAAATCAAGCAGAAACTGGGGTGGGGTTGGAAGGACTTGTTCACGGTTTTACATAATTGGTTAAGAAATACCTTTCCCAAGAAGGTCAAATGTTGGACGATCAGATGGGCACTTTCTGTCTTTCCAGCACCACTTTCCCCACTGATGATAATGCACTGAACACACAAAACAAAACATTCAGGTGTAGAGTTCACCACATGGTCAATATCAGCCATTACCACTTCCATCTTTTACTTCATGTTTAGTACCAAAACTGCAAAATACTTTAAGGGTCAATCCCCTTCTGAAAGGAGAGATCAGCAAAGACTCAGTGCAATAATTTATTCCCTAGATTACTAAAATGCATCTCACAGTGCCTAATAGCACTGCGCATGTGTGAAGCAGTGACTGAATTTCTAAGGGCTAAGACACATAAATGAGGGATCATGTCTACAGACATGACTAACATTTTTGTGGTTTCTCTCAAATGCTTAAAACTCAGAAAACTGCCACATCTCAGTTGATGTGCTTCTGAGCTCACTGCATTGACTTCATATGAATTAACACGTATCACAGGGTACAGCTACACTGACCAAAAGTTTGCTCCTAAAAGTAATTTTAAATAATTACCACTGCATAGAGAGGCTATTCTGTAGGTGACTCTGACATTCAAACCAGAACAGCAAACTAGCATCTAAACATTTCAGAAAAATATGCATCTCTTCATTTCATGATTCTGGGAGGACATATCCACCTTCTTCTTGGGTCAGCAGTCTTTCACATATGGTATTTTATAGGCTCTCCAAATGGATGCCAGATTCAGAGACTAGCTAGAATGGTCTAAATTCTCTGCTCTTATACTTCGTGGATAAGATGGAAGTAGAAGCCCAGTACACCTAAAAGGCCAGTTCACACATGAACACTGAAGCGTGAACACTTCAGATTATAGAGAGTATGAATTCTAACAGTATTCATTATTTTCCCCATTTTTCCACATATTCTACAGATCACCAATACAAATATTAGTCTATTTAAGGTACAGTATCAACAGACATCCAAGTAAAATGTTAACACTGAGCAGTTGCACAGATGCACTTGTTTTTATCCAAACACTTGAAAATTATCTGCATGACACTGTGAACATACAAGATTCTTGGTTGGGAAAAGATACAAGGTCCTAAAATACTTGATGCACACTGCCACTTCATACAGAATTGAGCCATGTGAAAAGATCTGAAAGATGCAACCATTACCTGGTGGTACCTAGCGGTGCCTGACAGCAGGTGCAGGGACTGACTCTACATAATGTGTGCAATATGACATTTGCAGATCATTTATTTGCTTCTTTTCAGGTATTTTTGCTCTTGGAAACAGGTAACACATCGATGGATTTACAGAGTTACACTATTTAACTTAATTGCCTTTGGGTGATTAGGGAAGGTATGTATAAAAGTTTACACGGTTAAAACCCATGAGTCCTTGCAGAATTGGTTAGAACTTGACTTTCACTTCAGGAAAAATATTAAGACCTTAAGCCACTTTTCAACTTTCCCAGGAAAAAAAAACAAGAGAAAGCTCAATGTCTAAAACAAACAGAATCAAAACATTTTCAGTCTGGCTACAGTGTTTATCTAATGTAGCTTTACTTGAAGAACCAACATAACACTGGTCAGGTAATGAACAAGATCCTGTAATACTTTGCAAGCAGCAAATAGCAAACTGATTTAGATCTAAATGAAAATTGTTTCTTAAACAGGTACAAAACACCTACTTAAAGACGTACATGGCCTGATGAGCTGAAGTCATTACTAATTTTTTTCCTCAGATAACAAGTTCTTACATAACTTACTCTACATGAGTATTTGTTTTCTTTCATGCCTCCATTAAAGAGCATATATGTCATTAAAGAAGTACTAATCATCTCTCAGGTCAGTGTACATACTTAGTAAAGCTCCTGTTTTCATCTTTAATGTTCCTTTTATTTGTCTTCTTTTCTTAGCATTTTCTGATTGCATGCCTTTTATTATTTTATTCTGCTTTTATGATTTTAAAAAAGCATTTTCTATGAATTATTGTGCAATGTGCAGGGTAAAATCACAAAGATTTTATGAACAAAAATAGTTATCAGCCCTCAATAGTCATGTACATACAGCACATCAAATTAGAAAGAGTACAAAGTTATAATCTTAAGAATGTAATAAAATCTTCTACAGCATGGTATTTTATTCTCATTAAAATTATTGCTAATAATAATTAGATTTGTGCCCTTATTATATTTATAATAGACCCATCCATAATATATTTTACTAAAAAATGAGATAATGGTTCCTATTTTTTGTGACTTAGGGTCTTTTTGAAACAGAAAAGTGGTTCAAACTCTCTTAATCTGCTGTGTCATTGAGAACCTCCTATTTAACACAAGTGTAAGTTATTGAAGTACCCAGGGCAAGACAGGCCTAGGATCACTGTGCAGCAACATTCTGCAGCTGGTCTTAAATGCCAGGACTTCATGAATGTCCAGGAAACTATATTGGTCAGGTACTCCTATCATCCTATTTGACCTTTAAGCCTCTTTTATGTCACTGTGTCTTCTTCAGAATTCCCAAACCTGACTGGATTTCTACTCTGGTTTTTCTGTTGTAGGAATAAAAGGATTAGAGAAAAATTTCCCAAAGTACAACATAACAGAACATTAGCCACAGCCATGAAGCACAGTGGCAGCATACTTAATATGGAATCTAAACCAAAATGAACAGATTCTTACCTGATCCTTGCTGAATGTAACCATGCTTTGGTAGGCAGCATCCGCAGAGGCAAATATGTGGGGGGGATTTGATGAACGCTTCACACCATGGTAAAGCTTGGAGAACTAAATTTAAAGAACACACAGTAGTCTACATATGCAATTTAGCTACATAATTAAGAACTGAAAAGAGAACAGTGACTATCTTCTGCCTGTTCAACAGAGGCAGTTGCCTATTATAGCACAGAATTTCCACTGATTCATCTGGAAGAGGAGTGGTAATTCTTGACACTGTCCAACTTCCAGAATACAAATTACAACACCTAGAATGCCCTCTGACATTTCCCATATAAGAAAGTGAAAAGAACTGTAACACAAGGAACAGAATTTCAAACACAAACCTTTAATAAAGGAAATACCCAACTTATACGAAAGAAACTTCAAAGATAATAGTCAATCTGAAATCTCACTCCTCTACCTGCAGCCCTGACTGAAGAACCCATGGAGACTAAGTAATTTCTAGCTCCACCTCTCTTCATATTTGTAGGGAATTAAACTGCCTCTATCTTTACAGCATTTGATTCACTTGTTTCTTCTAAGCCAGAGCTGATGGCACAGGACATTTAATAGTCAGAGAAATTCTTCAGGAAGCAAAAGCCTCAGCATGAGGAGGTTCACATAACCACTTAGCAGAAGAAAGCCCTAAATGCTAGACAAGAGGCCCATCTGGGGCTGGGGTGACCTTCATCTGTACCATGGAAGTTGTGCCATCAAGCAGAAAGGAATGAAATTGAATGAGACCAAATTTAAAAAACAAACCAGAGCAACACAGATTCATAGCCGTACTGTTCTGGAAGAAGAAAAGGCTGAGGTTTAGTCTGTACTCCTAGCTTCCAACATTGCTTAAGAGTTTTAGCTGGTGGTGTTAATACAAAATGTAAAGTTACTACTGTCCACAGCTTGGAATCTCTCTTACCTGGGGAGAATAAATGTTGAGATTCTGGAAGGGGTTCAAGGCTATTAAAATGTCTCCAACATAAGTATAAATCTGTAAGTCAGCATAGCGTTTTTGCAGCTGATGGATAATTGTATCCTGAGAAGATTACAAGAAGTTTGATAGTTATACAATATTTTTCCCCTTAGGAAGATTTTTGTAAATATACTGAGAACACTGATTAAGAAATACTTATTGTAAGTATTACTAATTATTTTTCAAGTGCCAAAACCGCATAACCAAATATTTTCAAAATTCTTGCTAATGCCATAAAACTAAGTTAAATGGCAACTCCTTTTTGAAGATTAGTACATATTTTGTTATATCAGCCTGTAAAGCAAACCTTCTGAAGAGAAAATGGATGTGCACATTATTGCTGCACTTCATAGTATATTTCCATTTAATTTTTTTATTTGGCCATGAAACAAGGATAATAAGTTTTCAAGGATTAAATTTTAAGTAGTTGTAAAAGACTGTTTTAAACAGGACACTACCACAATTTAGTATTATGTCTTTTTCTTGATGGCATGTAATTTAAGAATCATCAATGAAAAAATTTACAGATACTCCGCATATAGGTGATATAGTAAAATAGGAAATTGATATTGTTTTATCACTTTTTATCCAAGAGCTGTAGATAACATATTATTCTACATAAATAATCAATTTTAGAAAAATAAAATCACATAAACCTAGATCTTTATGACTAAATCTCACATTTTAGGAAACTCACAAAAATAATTTAAACTAGCATCACTCATAATTGAGTTCTTCCACAAAATAGTATTCATTGCTACTATTTTTATGCCACTATATGGAATATTAATGAAGTGATGGTAGCAGATCGGTCACGGGAGAATCCCCTTTCCATGGTGAGATAAAAACTTGCAAGAAGAAACTATTTTCATTCTGCTAAGAGAGGCCTAAAAAGCAGAAATAGGCAAAATGTGAAATACAATTGTCAGAAACTGCTACTCAGGACAGTACAGTACCTCATCTAGAACTTCTAGATTTACCAGATCATCATCTAGAGAGTACTTGTCAGCTCCATCCACATGGTAAGGTCTTCTAGTATGTATTCGTTCATGTCTGGAAGTTTGTTAGTAGAGCAGCAGTGTTACAAAAGTGTATCAAAGACAGCAAACATTAAGAGGTAATGAGAAGTCACGAGGGACTTTTTGTCATGCAGAAAACAGACACATTCTCTGAAATGCATATTTTTGCTTGCAATATCCTTTTATAAAAGCAATACACAGCTTGCTGTCCACTCTAATATGTGCCTTCTCTTTCACAATATATAAACTACCTATCAATGCTCAGCCAAGATTTATCTGTAGACTTACTACTCTTCACTCAGACAGTAAAGCATAAAAATATTCTCCCCCTTTTCCCTTACCTCCTTGGTGTAAGTTAATAAATTACTACTCTGTTTAATTAAATGTTCCCCCATGTACCCAGTCAATACTACTGTCATCTAAAGAAGCCACAAGAAGCAATAAATAGTATAAAATCTTACTGTTACCTTGGTGTATGCCAAAGTGCCTCCTCAGATGACCCTAGATCTGGTCCAAACCAACATTTTTGAACCACAGCTGCCATCAGACTCTAAATTGTATGGATGTTCAGTCAGCTTGTCCTCAGAGATTTAAGCCACACAATAAGCAGCAGAGACAAACTGTCACATAACCCCTTTATAATCAGATTATACTGAAGGAATCTTTGAAAATGCTGTGTATATATTTTTAAACAACACATCACGTTGAAACGGGAACAAATCAAGAGGCTGTAACATGTCCTCCACAGAGGGTGTGAAATATAAATGCTGTAAGCACAACTAGGCTTTTCTTTACAACAAACATAATCAAAGCATAGTAGAAGGACACCCACCGAGATACAGTCTGCATCCTGCTGAGTAACATTTAGCATTGATCCTCAATGACAGTCCTTGACAGATTGTTTCTGCATTGGTTGCCATGTAGAAAGTAGGAATCACATGGTCACACATACCAAAACAACACTAAATATTATATCAAGTACTAACAGAATGGTACTGTAACTGTGCAGGAAACACAGTTTATCTATAATGTTCAAGGTTAATATGGAGATGTAGCAGGTCTTTTTTTTATAATTGTATCTTCATACGCTCTTGAATCCTCTTTCAAAAATTAACATTGAGGCTTTTGCATTTTTGCCCTTTATGTACACTTCTACATTTGGAGCTAGTCAGCTTGCATTCAGTAAAAGAGAATGTTTTCATATCCAAGAGCTATTATATCATCAGAAGAATTATTGCATGGAAAGCCTTTAACAAAGGGGAAGGAGAGGAGTGTTAGCCATGAGTACAGCTTCACAGACAATTGCAAATCACATTTAAAGACCATAATTTTTTTTATTTCTATTTTTATTAATTTTCCTTCTTTCCTTTTGGCTACTCAACGAGTTCTGGAAAACTGTTCTGTAATGGTTTATTTGAATAATAACTAAATAAAACCGTGCAAACTCTTTCGTCAGCTAGAAAATGAAACAGCGGAAGACAGCAGGTTTTGCTGACAGTCCCACTACATTCCCAGAGATGGTAGTTTGATCGATATTGTACATCTGAAGAAATGAAAGAAGGACACAACAACACAAATAATAAGTTATGAAAGAAAAATTGTTACAGTGGGTATTATTTCCTGTGGGTAGCACGGCAATCATTTTAATTTGTTCAAAGTTCCATTCAATTAAATTTTCCATTTTATGGTCTTTGATTAGGTTGTGTTTTCTTTTTGTTTTTGTTTTTTTTTTTTAAGAGTCACTATATGCAAGAACATTACACTTTGCTAACAAGCCAGATCCTTGAAGGAGTAGGTATGCATGTAAATAGCCTAATGTACTACTGGGTTTTTTTAACTGTTTTTTCCCTTTCAAACCAGAATTCAACCTCTTACTTTACAGAAAAATGCTGTTGTAAATAATTTAAATCATTTAGAGATGGGAGCACTCCCTGGTTTACAAATGAAGCAAACAGTTGAACAGTTGCTTCCCTTCATGGAGATGTAACCAGAAAAGCAATAGCTAATATAACTCATCTGTGAAGCTTTTTCTTCCTGGAGCAAAACATCACAGACATAATATTGAATCGCAACAAGCTGCAAGTACGGACGTATCTACCAGAGGTGCGAGGAGGAGGGATAAGGAGGCACATTCAAACCTAAGCATGTCTAATTGCAGAATGGCTTTGTAAACTAATCTGCTATCTGATTGTGTATTAAACTCCTGCTGTTTGTTCTCCTTAAGTGATAAACAAATCAATCTTTTTTATTGGAAAGGGTTCCTTTTAACACTATGTAAATAAATAAGGAAACTAGTTTTAGTCAAACGTAAGTAAAACATATACACCTTTGAGCACATATTTTCTTGTGCTTAAGTCATTTTTCTAAGTACATGATTAGGAAGAGGATATTAGGAGCATAACATCACATTAGCTTCAAATCTCCTGCTGGTCTCATCAGTTTTCTACTGACCCTATGTCCTGCAGATGCATTGACAGAGTGGAAAAGGAAAACCACAAACAGTAACCTTTAATTATTTCCACAACTTAACATCAGAAATATAATCTGCTTTTAAAATATAATAAAAAAATTCTAAAAAAAGCAGAAGGAAACACTCTTAATTAGGAAAATAACTCTCAGTATGTTTTTTCCATAAAAAGTAGAATTATCAGCCATTTTTTCAGTACAAGTTCTAAGTCAAAGGAAAATCAAAGGTGTTATATTTGCCTTAAGTTTCCAGCAATGTTCAGAATCAATCCCTGGAAGATGTAGTCTCTTCACTGTTAAAAGAACTGGCATAGAGGGGCAGTCACTCAAGGCACCTATTTTTGTTACAGAATCACATAATGGTTTGGGTTGGAAGGGACCTGAAGCACAGCATAAGGTTTGTTCCAGAAATCTAGTGATGAGCAATGCCTGTTGAAAAAGACTATCCTCCCAAGCACCTTCCCTTTGCCTTTTTCTTCAGGCAGGAATAGCTGGAAGGGACAGTCTTCTTGGATTTTGGAGGAGGAGCAAAAGGCGAGAAGCATTTCTCCCTGGGGAGAACAATTCCATGAAGATGGTAGGAAGTATTAATTTGTTCTACTTGTGGGAAAGAAACAGTTTGAAAGAAAGTAACCTCTTTTTGTATTAGACACCAGTCACAGCAATAGAAGTGCACTGTAAATAGCTATACACTCATATATCCCCGCTATTAAGTTCATGATGGGAAAGAAAAAGCTAGATGGACCACACAGACTTCCAGATTGAAACATCGTCTTGCTGGCAGGTCCAACCTGAGCAGCAAAACAACACAGGCCAAGAATTTTTGCATTCATGGGGAAGCTGCCTCTCTGATTCTCTCCTCTCCACCCCTAGCATTATTAGGGCCTTTACTTCGCTCTCCTGGTGCAGGTAAGCATTCATGTTTACTGTTCGGGGTTTTTTCTAGGACTCACATAGGAACAATTGTTTCTGTACTTGTCCTTCTTTATATTATTGGCAATTTTAAAATTAATTCCTGGGATTTACAAGAAAAATACTCAACACAGTGAAAAAGAAAAAAAGGTAGAATGTGCTACTGCCACACAGAGATACACAACCTATTTCCCATGCATTGCAAAGACTGAATTTTGCCCCTGTACATCAAGTTTCACCCTGGAGTAATTTGTTGAAGCATGGTCATAATAGAGACACTGACATAGCCTTAATTACAATATGAATGCTGCAGCTATAGCAAAAATCTTTGTAACTCCAGTAAAAACACATACACTATAATTAGAAGAAGGGTCACTTTGGGGGAGCCACAGTAGTTTTGTGATTTAGAAAAAAAATAATAAAAAAGGAAAAAAAGAGTTTTAAATTCATTTGCCTAATATTCATATAGATGAAGGCTGGAAAAATTGCATTAAATTACATTGTGTGTAGCATCAGAGGACTATTTCTGGTTCTGTTTCTGTTATTAACTCCGAGTCCAAAGGAAATTACTGGCTGGATGCAATCAAGTTCCTTGCAGTTAATTGCTTTCAAAACTAAATCTGAGCTGGCAGAGAAGCTAGATATCTGGTTGTAAGAATTACTTCCTTGGATGGACTGCTGTAATCCAGCTGGCTAATAAGAAGGGGGAAGCTGCCAAGACACTGTAGCCTCATCCTAATATCTGACAAAGTAGCCTGAACATACCTGGCCTTCTCAAACTATTAAATGCTTAGATTTCTTTTTTCTTTCCCCCTAGGCTTCTTCAAGTTTGATTCTTCCTGATGTACAGATTTACATTTTATCCTTCAAAATGCAAGGTTTCACACCTGTCTGTTCCCCATTACAAAAACAAACTTTTAAATTGAGACCAGGAGCAGCACACCGACTCAGAATCACCCAGAACTGTAAACCCTGAACTCTTTACTGTCTACCTCAAACTTCTTTGAAACCATATCCATGAAAATGCTGAAATTTTTCATTCCTTTAAAAACTAAAACCAGAGGTCAGTAGAAGACCTTTTCTGATTCCTATGAAGAAGCCTATTTGCAGACAGGAACATAAGAACCCAATTTGTAGAAAAACATTCAAGAGAAGAATGAGCCATGTCTGGAGTTGGCCTCTTCAAAGCTGCTGATAATTGAGAAGCTGCCACTTTGAACCATGTAACCAAAACCATTCAATAATTGATAAACATTAACTTTCAAACATCAAATCATTATAGAATTTTTACAACAGGAGTTATTAGTCACTTGAGGAAATACAGAAGACCGTGGTTTTGCTCAACTTCTACTCCAGCCACATTTGATAGACAGGGTTTACATAATAAATGTAGATGTCAACTGGTAATTACTAAATATTTTTGTTACTTTGAAATTAATATAGACTTGTCTACTGCATTTCATGTGGCTGCCCCACATTAACACCTTTGAAAGAGCAGCCAAATGCCACATGGGAACCCACAGTATCTAAAATATTGAAAGATGGCTTCAAAGAATATTACCAAGGGCAAAATTTTTAGAATGTGTTCTCTGAAGATTCTTCTTCCCTGTCTCCAGTTCTAAGGTTTTAATCATGTATTTTCCTCCTTGATGTTCT